TCAACCTATTTTTTTCCCATGGTCCTCTACAGTATAGTTTGCATCATATTTTTTCCTCCTTCTTCTTCCTCCAAACTGTTCACCTGCCATTGATGACTTCTCTTACTCAACCTGTACCACAGGACTTCTTTTTTTTTTTAAGTATAAAGTTGTCAATGCCTTAATTTTTTCAGGCAGTCAGTGCTCCCCAGCCACTGTATGATGTGCAGGCAGAGTGATTCTTGGCCAAACCAGCTTCTTGCCCAGCCCTGCAGTGGGTCTTTAGGGATGAGTCTGAGATCAGGTGAACGTGTTGTGATGCATCCCTAAAATTAGGGGCTAAGGGGACTAAGTCAAAAATGACAGTGTGACTAACAGCCTTTAGCAGACTTTCTGAACAGGGCTGACTTGGGTCCAAAATGTAGTTGTTAATTGTTTATTCAGGTGAAAAGAAAGTGTAATTTTGCACGGTCATGGTTTTATTAAGCAGCTCCACATCTCTGCAGGGTAAGGACAGCACCTGCTAGAAATGCTGCTCACACTCTGTTATGGCAGGAGCACAGAAGGTGGAAAATTGAATCTGGCTGAAACAGTGGCACAAGTGAGGCCAGAGACCTTCTGTTTCACAAATATTTGGACTGCAGAATCCCAGAGATTCCAGTTAATCCCTTGTCATGACCTTTGCCGGCTGAGCAGGCTGAGTTTGTTTGGGTTTTTTTACATTGACTGAGGCTGAGGAACAGAAAGAAAACACCACCAAAAAGCTGCTGCTCTTTGCTGTCTGTACAAAGTTTACCCTGGTGCCTGCCAGGAGCTGCACTTGTAACGTGGCAGTGCCTGAAGGGACAGGATCTGTCCCCATGGCTCCAACACCTCCCAGGGTCTGCCACCTCCAGGGCACCTGTAAGTGCCCAGTACCCCCTGCTCCCAGGGCACCTGTAAGTGCCCAGTACCTCCTGTCCCCAGGGTGGCTGAGGGCAGTGAACTGATGAGCCATTTCTATCCCATTTGAAGAGAGCCAAAAGGAGGGTCCCAACACTGTGCTCTTTGCATCATTAATTAAAAACCAAACTTAACGACATTCAGCATGAATAAGCTACACAACTGCTCCAGGAAAAATTCATCCCAAAGAATGTAATATTGTAATATCACCAGGATAATCACTTTTAGCTTGCCGTGGGTGAGAAGGCAAAATATTTGGAGCACCACTCTGCGCAGAGCCCAGTCCCGGAGCTCTGGAGCTCCACAGAAAGGGGGTCGGGGCCAAAAGCAGTGCAGGGGATTTGGCTGGAGGCAGGAGGGCTCCCCTTGACCACCCACCCCCCTTTTAATGAGATTAAACATGGGGCAAATGACTGTAAATGAGATTAAACACAGGGCAAATGACTGTAACTGAGAGCAGGCAGATGTATCTCAGTAATACCTGGGCTGGAATACTGGTTAGAAGTTTGCTGGGGATGTCTTTAGGGTGAAGATCCCACCTCCCACAGACCTACGGACTCGATTTACTCCAGTTGGAATCAGTTTGGGTTCCGCTCCCAGGGAGAGGAGGTGAATCCCCGGATGGTGCAGGCAGCACGAGGGCTCAGCTGGATGCCAAGCAGAAATGCTAATGCTCACCCTCTGGTTTCTTTCAGGCAATACTCATGGATCACAACTGCCCTGTGAAAACAAAAATGTACACCCAGAACAACATCCAGTCCTACCCCATAGGTGAAGAGGAAGAGTATGAGAGCGATGAATAACAGCAAAGCCATATAACATATCCTGGTGTACAAAATGCTGTGGTTCATGTGAAACATTTCATCCAGAAATAGGTTTTAGTTGTACTGTACATTTAATAGTGAAATGGTCAAACAAACCAAAGGTATATTATTCACTGCCCGTGGCTCTCAAGCAGACTGCTAACCGCCTTACCAGGGGGGAAAAGCTTTTATAGAGGATTTGTATAGTGTTAATCTTTGTGTATTTAATTTTATTGAATATTACACTATATTTTTTATTAAATGTGTAGTATAAATCTGTATAAACGTGAATTTTAACTATTTGGTTTTTAAAGTTACCTCGTTGACAGTATTTCATATTTTATTTGAAGTCATATGTTACTGTCAAGAGCCTTCTTTCTAATCTGGTTGGAAACCTAAAAAAAAAGGCAAAGCTGAAGGAAAACCAATTCAATTTGAATCCTTTAAAGTGGTACCCTTGTAAGTACATTGAGAGGAGCTGAAGGCTGGAATTCAGTGTGGACAGCACTGTCACTTTTTTCATCAGCTTCAGGTTGTAATAATATATATATAAAAAGAAATTAAAGGCACCATTTCCTTGCCAAGTTAAATAAGGAGCTCCCTCTGAACCACTCATGAAATGTTGGGGAAAACAGGATGTTAAACAGAGGAGTCTTTTACTATTAGTAGTATTTAATGAAGTTTTAATCAACCAGTTATGCAGTAGGAAGCCCCCCCAAACACACCCCAGGTAATCAAGTAGGTCTGAGGATGCACTGTTCCTTTCCCTTACAGGGAGTGAAACAGCATGAGGATCCCTTTTTATATCTTTATCTTTTGACTCTTTTAACATGTCTTTATTTTAGCTGCATCTTAAGTGACTTGTTAAGGAAAGCTGCAGTATTACAGTATTTTGTCTTAGCAGGTACTGACAGTGAGCTGCTAACTTCAGCAGTTCAAACAAACTACTCTTTTACATGCATTTGCATACACAGCTGGAAATTCAATATATATTTATTTTTTTAAAGTGAGTTAAATTATCAACTTTGCTAAAAAAAAAATAAATGGAAGAAATAACCAGTTTGTTGCCAGCCTAAATCTCGCCATCTGGGGACACAGTCCAATACAGGTAAAGTATGAGACAGTCCCTATCTGCACTGAGAAAAAACACTTGGGAAAAAAGCATTTTAAAACAGTCCCGATGTCCTTCTCATCTGTGGCGTATCATTTCACTTGTAAAATTAAAATCTTTATGTGCCTTCTTTCATGTAATTGCAGATGTTTTATGTACTACAGCATAGATACTATGTTTACATATAGTTTTGTAAAGCGTATATACTATGGTCAGAAAATATGAGAAATATAGTGGATCAAACTTCAAGTATTGCTCTGTCAATAATTACACATTGAGAACGCATTAAAATAAAGTTATCTGACAGAAGTTCATGATCTATTGTAATAAAGTGGAAAAAAACTAAAAAAGAAAGAATCCCCCTCCTAATTTGCCTTATGCATTGTGTTTTACCAAGGGGGGAAAGCCAACAAGGATTTCAGGGGGTGGGAAAAAACTCCTCAGAGCTGTTCAGTGTTAACTCAGGACAACTGTTTTCACTCCAGGCTATAAACACATGAAACTTGTCTAAGTAACCGTGATACTCCCAAAATCAGTCTGTCCTGTGCCCACTGCTCTGAGATGTAACTGTGTGGAACAGGTAAGGCCAAGCTCTGCAGTGCCAGGAGACACATCTGGGAGTTCTTTTAATGAGTGAAGAGTCAAAGAAAGCTCCCAGGAGGCTGAACTGGTGTGAGAGGCCAAGCAACATGGCCTGGGGTTGATTTCAACAAATCCACTTGCAGAGTTTCTGTAGTGGTGTGTTTTCAACTGCATTCCTTTGAACAATGTACCAGAGGGAAATCCTTCCCTCCAAGCTGAGGGGTTTGCAGACAGACACCAGTGCAGCACAGCCCAAGGTTCTGTCACATCCTGAGTCACGGAGTAAGGAACAATTGTGCAGCTCCAGGACTACTTACATTGGGCTCAGATGTTACTTGGCCCCAAGAGAAGTTATTTTACTTAACTTCATTGAACTCTTTTGGTCAACATCCAATTGTTAATCCAATTAAATCTGAAACAACATACCAATGTTAGAATTCTAAATTATTACAGGACATGTTCTTTTTTTTTTTTGCCAGCTGATTAACCAATGTATTGCTTAAATTCACAAGTATAAAAGTAATTCAAACACAGAAACTCACCTGTATTTTTTAAAAAGCACAGACTGGCTGACTGCATTGCTTTGTTTTGTGTTTTTGAGCACATCCAAACGAAGGAGGAGCTGGCATTAATCTGCAACAGGACTCTGAGAAGAGCCAAGGCTGGATTAACTGAGCCCATTCCTCTCTGCAGCTGGAGCCAGGTTTCTGCTGGGCCCTGGGGAGCAGCCCCTCACCCTGACCTGCTGAGCAGAGCCCCAGAGCTCAGTGTGACCCCCCCTGCTCCTGCTCCTCCAGGAGTCAGACAGAATTCAGAGCCACACACACACCCGTGTTTTCATGCTCTGTGCCACTTTTCCCTGCACCAAATAGATACTTAGCAATTATTTTTGATTTTTGGAGTAATAAGTTACCAAACACTTTTTGCTGACAGTCAGGAAGAAATTTTACTTGCTGAAAATATACAAAAATTTCCATTCTGTCCTGGAAAAATCTGGCTTCTTTCCTATTTTGCATATTTTGATCTGTGTCAATTTACGTGTGATAGTCACTCAGTTCATTCGCTCTCATGACTTATTCCTCCTCTGTATTTGTAAACTTCCACAAATGCTTTATTTCAAATTTGAGAGAGGAAAAACCCCAGCATACAGGTAGAGAATTACAAGGAAAAGCTGACAGATAAAGATGAGCTAGGAAGAAGTAAGGATTTGTTTATCATCCATTAACATTTTCTGAAGGACAGAGCGAGTCAGAGGAGACAATTTTCTGATGTAACTCTGGTGGTGGTCACTGTCACCACGACTGCCTCAAATTCTTATTTGTGCAGTGCTCAGAGGTCTTAAAAAACCCCACAAATGTCCTTAGCATTCCATAAGATTCTCTAGCTACACAAAGAATCAACTGAAATCACCATTTTGCAAGCAATCTGCCTACTATTAAAAGCATAAAAGCCAAATTAATCAAGTAGTTTGAGGTCAATGCAAAGGCAGTTTTCTCCCAAAGATCTTTCCTTCCAGTGGTGGCTTTAAATGATAAGCTACTGCAACAGAAATCTTTAAAAAATACTGACACGATGCAAAGAAGTTGATAATTTAGCAAAACTATTTTATTAAAGCTTATTCTCATGATAAAATAATAGCCAACAAAATCATATTAGGCAGGTTTTCTGCAAATGTGTGTAGCTGCCACCCATTCAGATGTCATTAAGTCAAGATATTCTTGTTTTCTGTGGTATTCTTTATTTTCCGCTATTTACAGTCAAGCATAAAGCCAAGATTACATCAGGAATGTAGAATTACAATTTCCCCCTCGAGATTCACTGGTTATTGTAATTAATGCCAGACAGAAATTTCTGTTTTCCTTCTTATCACTAAAATACAACTATTTTGCCCTTTTCCCATTCGGTATATTTAAAAATATTGCACTACGTTTAATTTTCCTCTTACAATCATCAGCATCAGCGACACTACAGGAAAACTATATCCAGCTTTTCTTACCCACTGTGTTACAGGAGTCAATTTAAAACCGTGACTGTTTTGTTGAAATCAGTATTTGCATTGTTTTCACAGCTCCTTCATGTGCACCAGGGTTTCAATGAAGCACTTGGATATATTTGAAAACCTCTGTAGTCCATAAGAGCAAACACTGCTGGGCACTGAATGCAGATCACCACCAATGGTAAGCCACCGAGAAATGGAGTGGGGAACTCTTAATATGCATCTCAAGCAAGTACAGGTTAAATAACTTGGAGTCAGTAAGGAAGGCTAATTCTGTGCGATTATCTGCTGAAGCTTAATTTCAGAGTGTGTCACATGCCTGTTTTAGCATGGATAGTGTTTTCCATACATCAACTAAGTATCAACTGCCCAGAACTCACAAAAAAGTGCAAGTAGTTGCATGAATGGAAGTAACCATTTTTTTTAGAAGCACAGGTATGCTGTTCCATGGTGAAAACCACTGCTTCTTAATTTTGCCCATCACAGAATAAACTGAGAAGCAAATCCAAAGGAGAGGTACATTACAGACGACCTCAAAAATCAAAGGAGTTAATTACCATCCTAAACTCCACTCCCACAAAGGCATTTTTTTTTCTACTACCAGCGATACCAGTGATAATGATACGAGTACCTAGCACAGTACCTAAAATAAAGATGATATTTTGTACAAAATTTCTATACACAGAAGATGAAACAAAGACACGTTTACAGGAAATAAATAAGAACAATGGCCTTAGCCAGGATATGCTAAGATCCACAGTTTACACAGAGCACAAGACCAGACAGTTCTTTTCCAAAGCAGCTGCTGAACTTCTTCCTCGTCTCTACTGGACTCACACACTGACTCAAACAAAACATGTTATATACACTATAGGACATTCTGCTGACAAAGGTGATCCTTGTCCTCAGACTGGAGCTTTTGTCTGAGAAGCTGAATGCAACTTACCACTATATGACTACTCAAAAGTGTTTAGAGAACATGTTGAGCTATTATTTTGTACCTTAAGTTTCCAAAATGATAGTCTGCAGCAAAATATTCCTTTTTTTTCTATTACTTAAACCATCCTTACATGTTTTTTTACAGAATGCAATGAAACCTCCAACTCTTATGAAGACCACCTTTCCTTTATCAGGTTATCAGATAATACAACAACACTTACACATATGGGTTTTTTCTGGAAGGCAACCAGCCTCTTATCTCAATTATTAGGAGATACCAGCATGTACTTTGATATCTAATATTATTCAATCAGGATACAATAGCCCAAGGTTCTAAGGAGGATTTTTTTTAGCATAGCATTACTATATTTCATGTTAATCACAAACTATGAAAAGTTTTTGTATTTAACAAGAAGATGGGAAACAAAAGATATGCAATGTTAACTTCAGTATTAGCAACAGACGAAAATTGAAGACGTTTTGTTTGCTTTCACGATATGTTTGGCAAAAAATACACAACTACTGAGAAGACATACAACAAAACTGTGATCAACACTTAAAGCCTGGCCCCTCAGTGACTTCTGGGTCAGTCATCAGCTTAGGCATGCAACAAGCTTATAATGCTTTCATCATTCAATGGAAACTAAACATTTTGAAAATCCTGCCAGTTTCCCATTGAAAACAATAGCTAAAAAAAAACAAAAATAAGGGGAGGGGAAGTGGGGGCAAGTAATACATTAAGGAAATCACACACACTGATGTGAAATGGTAGGGTCATATAATTAGAAAAAAATAAAAATAAGTTATTAAAAATAAATTTCCAATATAAACCCCAAGATGTAGTTCTAACCAGCCAGTTTAACAAACCGATGGTGCCGTAGCTGGAGAAGAACCATTATTAGCAATTAACTGTGGAAAGCAGGACACATACATTACACCAGTGTTTTAATTTAATTTGTGTGTGTTTGGAGTTAAGTGCAAAGCGTTCTTTCAGTCCATTCCTTCAGACTAAATCTGTAAATATCAGTCTACTGATTGAGGTGGGTCAGCCGGTTCTTCCGATATGATGTTGAGTGTTGGAGCCTCCGTCAGGCTGACATCTTCACCATCCATCTCTTCTGCTACCCCGCACTCCTCGGGATCCTTAGTCCCTCTCTTGGCCTGTCGCTCTGAGGGCGTGTTCTCCGTGGACTCGAGGTCCTCGATGCCTGCCCTGTAGTGGATCATCAGCAGCGTCAGGGCCTGCAGTCTCTCCCCCGACTTGGCCAGCGCGGCAGCGATCAGGGCTTTTTTCCTCGGGTCGCTCGTCTCTTTTTCTTCTTTAACGAGCGAGTTGTTGTTTTCCAGCTCTTGGTCTATCTCGTTCTGCAGCTTGTCCAGCATGAACTCCAGTTTCTGGAAGCGCTCCTCGGTGGGTAGGCTCCTGTAGAGGTCGCGGCCGATCTCCTTGACGGCGATGAAGACGCTGTCGTCCAGCCCGCCCTCCTTGCGCACCAGCTTGATGCCGCTGCCCGCGCGCTTCGAGGGGCTGCTGGGCCCGCTCAGCTCCGTGTCGCTGCTCTCGTTGTCAGAGGTGTTGGGGGTGTGCTTTGGGGAGGGCTCAGCCACCTCCGCCCCCTGCTCGGCCAGGCGGGCCTTGGGCACCTGCCGCAGGTTGAGCAGGCGGGTGCTCGTGTTGATGATGTGCCTGGTCAGACCTGTAGTTCTGTTCACGGACTTGGGCTCCGAATCTACACGAGAGGACGTGGCCGGGGGAGCCTCCTGTCCTTCTGCTCTCCCACCTCCCATGGTTCGATCGGGCCGCTTTTCAGCTCCGGCACAAAAGGGCATCTCAGCTAAACATTTTTCTTGACATTTTTTATGGCAAACATAAGCACAGAGCATGCACTGTGAAGCTGCTTTAGTCCACACTTTCTTTTTGCAGTAATCACACCAGGTTGGATTCTGAAACTGAGTATCTTGAAAGTTATGCTTGTGCTCCGTAAGAACCTGTCCCAAGAAAGGATCCTCTTTCTGAAGTGCATGAGCTTCTTCTTCCGAGTGATAATCCCTCTCTTTCTCCAGAGCAACGTTCGAATCATCTATTTCTCCTTCTTTTAAGTATTTGAATTGTAAAGTTATGTCGCCGTAGCAAAATTTTTCATTGAAACCCTTATGGGTCGTCAAATTCCGCAGTGCTGTTCTACTGACTGCTGCTTTCGGGGTAGGAGCAGTCAGTCTAAATGTTCTAACAAACTCCATTGAGGATGTAGCTATACAATCTAAAGCAATTTCTTCAAGTTTTATGCTTACATACCCTAAGCAGATAAAACCACCTGCTTTGAAAGGGTCTCTGCACCACAGTGCAACATTAAGGTACTTATGGTATCCTTCTACTTCAAACAGACAGGAGGATGTTCTCGTCCTCTGCCATCGGCCTTGCCGGGTTTTATAAGGAATTTCTGGTGATTCCCACGGTCGATGATCATCACCATCTTTGCTGCTACGTCCAGTTTCTGAAAGTCCATCTTTGAATGCATCTTGCTTTGGTGCTGTTACTACTTTTGATACTGCTGGGTCTTCTGTTTGATCACTATTTTTAATTACCTTCTCTGTAGACTTTTCTCCATTATTTGTAGGCGGAGGTGGCCTCTCTGGTTTATCAGAACACACACCTGCAGTTTCTAACACATTTTGGCTTTCACTGGGAGAAAAACTAGGCCTACTTTGTGGCCTAGGTGGCACAGGAGGCTTAGTACTGGACGCTTGTGACTGTTTCCCCGACTGCTGGGATGCCTCTGAACTCTCGCTGCCTCTGGCTGCTGCCGCTCTGGCTGTGTCTTTGTGCTGCGGTTTGGATGTTGTTTGGTGACTTCCCAAATGCAGTTTCCGATTCAGGATGGGGGAAATGGTTCCCAGAGGTTTAGCAGCCAGTATTACCACTGAGCGTTTGGGACTCGGATTTGTTGGCGGCTCTTCTTTCTGGTCAGGTGACTCACAGGCCAAGTCCTCAAACTCGGAATCAAAATCCCTGCTGTCCACATCAGTTGCTACACTGGCCTGGTCATCTTCTGGGGGTGCCAAGAATGCAGTGTCTTCCAAGTGTCCAAATCCATCCTGCAGTGCTGGACCGTGCTGATTATACCCAACAGGCCTTTCATAGAACACTAAAACTCTGTCCCCAGCCTGTCTAATGAGCTTCAACACTTGGACCGTTGATGTGATTTTAACACCTATTAAAAAAAAAGACAAAAATTGTTCAATTTTAATTATGGTAACAATCTAGATGACCAAAAATAGTCAACAAACATTGTTGCTCACTAACAAAGGAAACCAGTTATGACAGAGCTTAATTGAAATGTAACAGATGGATTCTTTCATTTCATTCATATAACTATATCACTTCAGGGGCTGGAAAAGATAATAACAAATACTCCAGTTTGTTGTTTCCTAATAATACTGTAATCTTATGGAGTACTGTTGATTTGATAGGCTAACATTTTTAACCTTGACTGTCTTACTGTAGGTTTGGACTTTTCAGCAGCAGACATTTAACAAAGGACTCAAAAAAGATGGGTATCTTTAAATGCAGTTGTAATTAAAACAAAGCAGGCTAACAAAGAAAATAGTTCCAATAAGCTGGCAAATTATAGGCATGATGCTACATTCTCAGTGGGGCTGAAGAGCCAACTGAACCATCTTCCTCATCAGACCTTCCAGTCATTTGATGTATCTCCAGCCTACGGTAAGATTCAAAAAGTACATGCAAGCTAAAAATCTCTTGATGAGCACACAGCCCAAATAAGTAAAAATTACTTTTCCTTTGTTCTAAATCAGCCATCAATTGCCTGTTCAAAGCAACTGAAGACCCTCTTAAATCACTGGAGTACTGCAATGGGGATTTAGGCAGTACCTAATCACAAGAACTCACTGTAGTTGTTGAGCTCTGCTCTGTAAAACCTCTCAGGTAAAAACATTAAACTCCCTGCCAACACAGTTACATGAATGTTTTGGCTGTTCTGAAGGGTTTTATTTGTTTGTCTGGGGTTTGGTTTTGTTCTCGTCAAATGTGTATTCAAGTTTCTTTTGGATTTACCTAGCAAGGAGTAAATAAATATGCCAGAGAAGTGACCATAAATACATAAATGTTGGCTTTTCTTAGGAGTGCCAGGATAACTGTAATTGTTGAGAAAGGCACTCCAGTTGAACAGCACACAGACACGTCCTCCCAGTTTGCACAACATTTTCAAAGCTGCCCCGTTACTCACTGCCAATGGCCAGGAGCCTGTCCCCTCTCTGCAGGTCAGCAGCTGCAGCAGGGGAGTTTGGGGTCACAGTTTCGATGACAACGTGTCCTGCATCCTCCTCCTTGGACTGCACCAGCCGCAGCGTGAGCCCCACGCTCTGGAGATTCCCTTTCACCAGCTCTGCCTAGAGAGAAAGAAGTCAAAAGTATCTCAGTTAAGCTGCCTGCAAGCTTTGTTTTTATTATTATTATCATCATGGCTATTAATGATAATTTAAATAAAATTATACTATTTAAATAAAATTAAAATAAAATTATAGAATTGCTGTTATTATTATTAAAAATAAAATACATGAGGACATGCATTGACTTCATTAAGCAGATTTTCACCTAATAGATTAACTGTCTGCCCATTAAGTTTGCACCTTTGGAGATCTTCACAAAAAGCCCCGGTCTAAAAAAGCCACAACTAAACACAACTACATTGTACATTTTATGGGGAAGAAGTTTTATTAAAAGGAGCACTGTACCATCAATCTAGGTATCATTTTGAATACCACATTTGTGTTACAAAAGTTAGCACTATGAGCAGCTCTTCAGCAGTCTACATGAAGGTGTTTGGAGTGAGAAAACTGTTATGTACTTACACATTGCTAAAGCATATTTAAAACAAATCTCAATTAACAATAGCCTAAGAAACTTCTTCAAAGTCTCAAACCCTTTCCTGCAAACCCCTTCCTCATACTTATATTGCAAGATAAATACGATTTCAACTCCATAATCTCAAATACCTTATTCCTAAAGAAAGAGCAGACTGAGGTGCAATCTCTGCAGCAGTTTCATACCACACTCCTGCACGGATCTTAGTAGTGGTCAATTGTTTACAGACCTCAGTGTCTGAGATCTTTGGCAACTTTTTTCTTAATAAAAACAGTCCTTAATGAATTCAACAATATCCTTTTTTTCCCCCTAAAGCACATTCCTTCTGGACTGTTTCAAATGACTCTCTACTATCATTCCATCAACATTTACTCTGTTTGAAAGGAGAACTCATATGTTTCAACTTCAAGGATAGAAATTTAATTTGCCTTTTTGATTCCCAAGAACAGAAAGACAGACACTGCAGAAAGCCTCCATAGGAAAGTTCCTCTTTGGTTTCAATGTAGTGAGTTCAGGTAGACAGCCCTCTCTGTCCCTCTGCACTGACTCTGGGGCTGCTCAGTGGTGGCTGTTTGAACTGTCTGCAGCTGATCCTGCTCTTTGGAGGATGTGTTCATTTACTTACTGTTGTACAATGGCTTTTCCACAGATAAAGTGGATTCCTTCATGTCAGTACACGGCTCTCCCCTTGGCTGCATGGCTTTCACTCCTTTCCTACCATCTTAAAAGCATCATACCTTATTTTTTGGCTAATTGCTGTTCAGTTTTTTTATAAATAAAAATGTTATGCTCCTCAGCAGTTTGCTTAAGAACAGCATTGAGTCTGAAAAAGCAGATTTACATTAACTTTCTAAGCTTTGTCACTAATTTTCTGCATTTCCCACAGTCACCTAATCTTTTTTCTCAATTTTCTATTGTGAATACTCAGTAATGTATGTCAGAATAACAAGACCAATATGAGCTTAATTGCAGTTCCCAGATTCAAGGCTTTTCTAGAAGGCAAACAAGTAAATAGTTGCCTACAGAAACAACTGTGGTAGGGTTTTGGGGTGGGTTTTTTTTGTTTGCTTGTTTTAATGTCAATCCCATTTACACCAAAAACTGTTGCATAATTAAATTTTAAAAAATTTAAATAATAGACTCTTAAATGTTAAGAAACAAAGAAAAAGGATGTCTGTGAAAGAAGACAGAAATTAAAAAAAAAAGAACTGTTCTTCTGCTTTAGTCCTTTATTTATATACAATATAGCTTTAAGCTAGCAATTCACAAACACTGCATGTGTTGTATGGAAACAACATGAAGAATTACTACAATTTCAAACAATACTAGTTGAATATTTTAACTGTCAAAACCACAAATGACATGAATTTGCTGTGGCAGCACGCAAACCTACAACAAAAACAACATCCAAAAATCACAAGAATATAGCTCTGCATAGTTATCAAACAAAGAGGAAACCATAATTTCTGAGCTTTGCTCAGAGTCCAAGTGCTCAAATCTCAGTTTTCCTACGATGATTCCTTTGTAAGTTTTGCTGTAAGTGATTAAGCTTGAAAAAATATTTCCAAATCCTTGTGTTTGAATTGAGAAGAAACTACCATAATGAAGATCAGAAAGTAAACTCTCACTTAAGGAACGCTGACAAACATGAAAATTACTGAGGGCTGAAAAGCAAATTATAACCATTTTCCCCCCTAATTTTTGTTAGTCCACTGAAGTAGAAAGCTGTTTAGAGAGAACTTCAGGAAAGAAATGGGTGCTTAGGCACCACAGTGACGGGAAAAAAACCCAAACCAAAACCCCAGGACCCTCTTCACACTGTGCTGTTCTGGCCATTTAATTACACTCCTTTAGGGATTAATCTATTATGATGATACATAGTTTTGTCTGAAATCTCACATTTCTTCTGGCTCTCAGTGCCCAGAACTGGAGCTCATTAGTGAGACAGGATGTTTAAAGTGTTGGTCCATCAGGACACTGTTAGTTTGGCATCACTGCACAAGAGACGCTGCTCCAAGTTTGGTTGCAACATGAGAGAACTCTTGCCCAAAAGTCTTTGAGCAGAGCAGAAAAACATCCAACCAGTAAAGGACCCTGGCCACTGTGCCAGTGCCACAGGAGTTACCCCACGCCACTCTGCTGCTCTTTTACAGCTGGAGAGTTTCTCCTGCACTCAAGGAGAGGCACAGAGCGGTCGGATTCCTTCCGAAAGCCTCAGAGAAGCGAAGGTCAGGAGGCAAACAAGAGCTGGTCCTGCAACACCAAGGGTTTTGAACAAAGGAGGCAGCGACTTCTAACCACTGTTAGTACTTGCAGTCAGGGCAAAATGCATGATGAGCAGAAATGGAGAAAGGGCATCACTGGACAGTAAAAAGGAAAAGATGTTACCAACAGCTCTTTCTTAGAGAGTTTGTCAGTGCAGATTCTCATCCTCCTGAGGGTCCTTTGAATCCCAAGACTTCTCTGAGCACAACTCCCCAGTGGATGATCTAACAGTGAAAATATTCCCTACTGCAAAGGCCTGGAAACCCCCGAGGTGATCCCCAGCATTTCACTCTTCCCTCCTCCCCCAGGAAGAGACCACATGAAAGGAACGAGGGCCAGCTGGGACCAGAGCTCTGAAGGTATCTCAGAACATTTGGCTCCCATGCAGGGACACAGAGCACAGATTACAACAGGGATGACTCACTGATGGCAAGGAGACTTCCAATATTTCAGCAGTATCTGATGGAAAGCTGTTTTTTGGAAGGAGATGCCTTTGAACATAACGAGCAAAGTTCATCTCAACTTTTTATTAACTTTGGCACAGTCACAAGCTTTCTCACGAAGTAAACTGGTTTTATTTATCAACCTAAACCAGATGAATATTTTCCTTGATTTTTCTTTCTGGCAACTGCAAGTAATACCACAGTATCTCAGGCTGGCTGCAAGGCAGGTAGAGGCTGTTCCAAGCTCTCAAACACTGTCCTCAACAAGTACACTCACAAACCCAAGCACCTTCATAAACCCAGCACAGCCACTTTATGCCTTTCTGCCTCCCCCTCAAATTAAGACTTGATAATAAATGTGAAGAGCCAAAGACCTACTGGAAGATTAGAAGGAAACTGTGGGTAATGAAAGGACATTTATTATCAAGAAAGCTCGCTGCAAGGGAGAAAACCTAACCAATTAGCTACACCATATTAAAATAAGCTTATTTTAATTTGACCTAATTAATAGCTCTGTTTTAATAGTTCCTGCAAACCTTAGTAGTTATTTCAGTAAGGAGCAAGACAAAGTAGATATTACTACTTGCTTGTCAGCAACAGGCACACATTCAAACTATTTTATACTGAAAGAGTTAGAGCTAAACTGTCACAGAACTTAGAAAATGTACCATTTTTTAGAAAGTTAAGCAGCCTCCCAAAAATTTATTGAATACTTGTTGAGATTAAGATGTAACAAAACAGGAATGACTCTCCTGGGGAAAAAAAAAAGGAAGATAATTTATTGTTTAAAAAAACCCTTCAACAACAAGAGAAGAGGACACAAAATGTCCATTCACTTTAAAATTAATAAAACATTTTGATGTGGAGCTGTGACTGCCTGGCTTTTCCAGGACAAAGTCTCTAAGCATCGATTTCCCAGGACAGGCTCTGGTTCATTTCTGTGCATCAGAGTCTGAGCCACTGCAGAGCAAACCCAGCGCTGCTCTCAGCTCAGTACTGGACGTGTGCTCTGCAAACAAATGCAGCAGAACATGATGTTGTGTCTCACAGCCCTTCCTTACCCCAGCCTTGTCCTCCTGAAAGCCTAGCAGTCGAAGGGCAGTGAAAACTAATTTTTCCAAACCTTTTTAAACATACTCAGACCAGACTGCACAGCTCTGTAGTCCCTGTTCAGAAGTTTAGAGCCTGCTGATACCATTGAAATGGCCAAATATCTACAGGAGTGTCAAAACACGACACAGGTTTAATCTTCAAATGCTTCACTAAATTATCAGTCTCAAATAATTGTCAAATACAATGGGATGATAAATAAACATCCCTTTTATAGGCAACAGACAAATGTGATGCCATCTCATTTACTATTTGCTTCCAAAACCGTAAATATGAAGTTAGATGGTTCTTGAATACAGAGGTAAGACTGTCACCAGTAATACTGTATTCTCACAACTGGAACATAAATTAACATTAGATACAGAACTTCCACTCAGCATTTCTAAGACATAATAAATAATGTCCATTAACGAATATGGAGATGGCAACATCTAGAAAAGTACATATAACAACCTCTTACTAGGAGTGCAACATCGTTCAGCTAAACTTTCAAAACTGTTAGATGCACACAAAAATAGAAAGTCACAAAATTAAGCCACTGCAAGATAATTAGAGCATAAAACTTTCTCTTAAAAAACAAACTGGTTATTTTCAGGAACTAAAAAGGATTCTTTTTTCCAGCCTAATTTTACTGTGTAAATAGTATTCCATATTTGCTTAACTATCTGTAATCATTAACATTATAAATCTTTATTAGACTCTAGTAA